GTGCGGAACATTCATATATGTAAATTGCCACCTGCGTGTAACAAACACAATGGGGCGATGGTGAGTCGTCACAAAGCTCAGCCAGTGGTTGAAAAAGACCACCGTTAAATAGGTCAACATGGCAGGTGTTCACGTAAAGCACTTCGATATTCGTGTCATTGTAACTGCGATAGTATTTGTTGAAATAGAGCCCAAGCCGATTTGTATGTCTGTATAGCACCCAGTGTTCAGTTATCGTTGCTATTGACCTCTATATATCCCGGCTATTTCAGGTTATAAGGTGTTCTTGTGATTAACTCATTGAAAGAAGCCCACAATATATTGATGTCTCTACATGTACCAAGGATATTCCATCTATTTTCAGCATGTAGAAGAAAAATATAATTTGGTGTTTGAGATGTCCAGAGCAGATCCCGTACTGGCTAGATCATCTGGCTCTTCATATCCATAACAGTTCTTAAGCGAGGAGATCCAAACAAGGTTAACGTTAGACAGGCGACCCAGCCTTAACAGATCTTTCTTGAATTGTCTGACTAATAGGGAAGTGGTAGTATAAGAGTTTAACGAAGGATTTGGTTATCGACAAAAATTCTTACATTGCCAGGAATATTGAGTTGAAAAACACCCTACAGGCTGACATTATTACAAATATTTTAGTCTATGATAGTAAAAGATACTTATTCCAGCTTCCTCACAGAAGACATTAGAATAGGTTACAACTGCACCACTTGCTCCTAGAAGGAACTACGACTTTGAAAACTCTATCAAAGTCCGTGTGTGCGGTAATGTTGTTGGATGGTTGAATCCAGATTGTCATATTTTATAGAATGGATAGTTCGGGGCCAATATTTCGATATATAATAAACGAAATGACGAAATCAACTCTCTTTGGTGGCTAAAAACAGTAATAGAATAATTTAAAGCTTTAAATAAAAAATAAAATAAATTTCCTTAATTTCTTCATATACATTAGTTTTATTTATAACCAACTATTTCTATTTTCTACTATAATTATGGTACAACGAAGGCGTTTATTAAAAAATATTTTCATTTCGATTTGTTTGCCTTACTCTCGTATTGTTGCTATTGGTGTTTTCTTTTCTGCCTCCACTTTAAATGTAGATTTTTATTTTAAATTAGCCAACAGTTGTTTGAGTGGGAGTCTTGAATAGAAAATTTAGGTCATTTGCTATCAAAGAACCAATGGATTCGTTATATTTTAATATTCAATTCTTATTTTTCCTTCGTTTTTTTGTTATCTTAAAGGAAATACGATAAGAACCATATTTTTCTTGGCAGCAGTTATGGAAATGTAAAATTGTTGAAAAAAAAAAATACTGAAAAATGTAATGATATGTATGCTATAATTAACCTTCAATGTAAAGAAGAAGTAAAAAACAGCAAATAATATTGATATTTGTGAAATGAAAAAATTAAATATAAAGAATCAATGCTTGCAATAAAAGGAAGTAAAGTAATTTATGGGAGTTTGGTTCATAATAAAGCTAAAAGTTTAGTTGTAGATGTTTTATACAAAATTTTCTTTTAAATACTTTAATAGTTAATACTAATAAAAAAAATTCCATATACCGTGCTTTTTCTATGTATTTTCAGGATTAATCAAACTTTGACATGGTTTCACAAAAGCACTTACTTGCTATTCTCTATTCTAATCTTAATTTAATTCCAAAATAAATTTCATGACCCTTGAATGCTTCAGTTATAAAACTGTTGTATTTTCCATACATATTTTAACATGAATTTAATTTCCTACTGTTTGGTTCCGCTCTTTTTTTCAATATTCATTCATTCATTATTCACTGTCAGCCTAAATTACACCAATATTTTTCCCATACGAATTTGTTGCCTTTTTTCTGTTTATTTTTTGTTTTTGGCAAATTGTCAACAATTTGCATTTGATGAAATTAGACCCTTAAAACACAAGTGCAGGTTCTTAAAATCAATTGTCTTTTATCAGGTCAGTTATAGTTGGCAAACATTTCCTGTTCAGTGTTTTTGTAATTAAATGAAAAATGTAATAGATTTTGTTGTTGCTGTAGGGGTTTTTATTAACGGAAACTAAATAAATTTTTTCACATATCTAAATAAATAGTAAAACTTCCCTGTAGTTTGGGCGTGGAGGTTCTCTGAGTTATCGAGAATTGTTTAACAAGTATCGGAAAGGAGATATCACAGGAACTAACTAACTAACTAACTAACTAACTAACTAACTAACTAACTAACTAACTAACTAACTAACTAACTAACTAACTAACTAACTAACTAACTAACTAACTAACTAACTAACTAACTAACTAACTAACTAACTAACTAACTAACTAACTAACTAACTAACTAACTACTAACTAACTAACTAACTAACGAACTAACTAACTAACTAACTAACTACTAACTAACTACTAACTAACTAACTACTAACTAACTAACTAACTAACTAACTAACTAACTAACTACTAACTAACTAACTAACTAACTAACTAACTAACTAACTAACTAACTAACTAACTACTAACTAACTAACTAACTAACTAACTAACTAACTAACTAACTACTACTAACTAACTAACTAACTAACTAACTAACTAACTAACTAACTAACTAACTACTAACTAACTAACTAACTACTAACTAACTAACTAACTAACTAACTAACTAACTAACTAACTAACTAACTAACTAACTAACTAACTAACTAACTAACTAACTAACTAACTAACTAACTAACTAACTAACTAACTACTAACTAACTAACTAACTAACTAACTAACTAACTAACTAACTACTAACTAACTAACTAACTAACTAACTAACTAACTACTAACTAACTAACTAACTAACTAACTAACTAACTAACTAACTAACTAACTAACTAACTAACTAACTAACTAACTAACTAACTAACTAACTAACTAACTAACTAACTAACTAACTAACTAACTAACTACTAACTAACTAACTAACTAACTAACTAACTAACTAACTAACTAACTAACTAACTAACTAACTAACTAACTAACTAACTAACTAACTACTAACTAACTAACTAACTAACTAACTAACTAACTAACTAACTACTAACTAACTAACTAACTAACTAACTAACTAACTAACTAACTAACTAACTAACTAACTAACTAACTAACTAACTAACTAACTAACTAACTAACTAACTAACTAACTAACTAACTAACTAACTAACTAACTAACTAACTAACTAACTAACTAACTAACTACTAACTAACTAACTAACTAACTAACTAACTAACTAACTAACTAACTAACTAACTAACTAACTAACTAACTAACTAACTAACTAACTAACTAACTAACTAACTAACTAACTAACTAACTAACTACTAACTAACTAACTAACTAACTAACTAACTAACTAACTAACTAACTAACTAACTAACTAACTAACTAACTACTAACTAACTAACTAACTAACTAACTAACTAACTAACTAACTAACTAACTAACTAACTAACTAACTAACTAACTACTAACTAACTAACTAACTAACTAACTAACTAACTAACTAACTAACTAACTAACTAACTAACTAACTAACTAACTAACTAACTAACTAACTAACTAACTAACTAACTAACTAACTAACTAACTAACTAACTAACTAATAACTAACTAACTAACTAACACAAAACTAAAACTAACTAACTAACAACGAACTAACTAACGAACTAACTAACTAAAATAACTAACTAAACTAACTCACTAACTAACTAACAATAACTAACTAACCTACTACTACAACTAACTAACTAAACTAACTAACTAACTAACTAACTAACTAACTAACTAACTAACTACCTACCTACTAAACAACTAACTAACTAATAACTAACTAACTGACTGACTGACTGGACTGACTGACTGGACTGAATAACTACTAACTACCTAACAGCCTCAAAATGTCCCCTTCTACAATCTACAACTGGGCGCAAATGTATCGTGTAACAAGCCAATGCTCCGAGAACAACTTGACTATCAACATAAATTGTCACAACTGACCCCGGAACGATATGTTTCCGTATCAGTTCCGTCGCTTTCCAAAACGCTAGGATCACTGCTTGGAAAACACTACATTCGTCAGGGTGTCTGAAGGTCCGTTTTATGTTGATATCTGCGATATAGATATCTTGAACCCATCAGTGAAAACTGCACACACACACAACAGTCTATCGGATACAAGCCAATCATCCCTACTTAGAAATTCTGTCAGAGGTGTTTCCCCGAAGTCTAGAGTCGTAATATTGTAATCCGTAATACCACGAAGGGAATTAGCCTGATCAAGAAGACCTATTTCTTGCAGAATTTTTGTAAGGTCGTCGTATTCTTTCCTATAGAATTCTTGCATGTGTATTAGTAATTGAGTCGCTTTTTCATTCTTTCCTGAGAATGTTCCCTCCATGCCAACTTGCTATCAAGGAAAGTCCCTAAATACTTAGCTCCTCTAGTTATACTTTTAATGTGTTACTTCAGCTTCAATCGATTATAGCTCCATTCAAAGTCTCAGTTCAGCTTAATCGTAAATCTGTTAGTGGTCAAAATGAACTCTTATATTAGCTTAATCGTAAGTCTGTTAGTGGTCAAAATGAACTCTTATATTTCTAAATAATAGTTCAGCTTCTACCGTGTGCATTTAATGCTTTTAGAAACGTTAATGAAAAAGTCGCAAACGTGTTAAAAAATACCCTGCAAAGTGATACCTTAAATCCCCGTAAAACTATTGGGTTTTAGCTAAACTCATACATGAGTATGTTTATGCATTGAAACGGGGGAAAAACAATTGAATTTTACAATATACTTCACTTGAGTCGTTGAACTTATGCCAATTAAAACTCAACCAATCCAAAAATAAATTTATGTTCCTGTTCATGTTTGTTTATGTAGAGTATACTGGGCAAATGTATTTTTATTAATTCTTATTTTTTCGTCTCTCTTTGTGATATTTACAGGTCATCTGGGTGTGCATATTGTGTCGTAAAAAACAAGAATTATTATCAAAGACTGGTCAATGGATGAATAAGGGAGCGGTACAACAAGATGGTTTCATAAGACGCAATGAACCGGATGGCAGTAGTGTAAGTATATGAAGAATTTTTTAAATTAATGATGATTCTTATAATATGACGCTGTTCCTTAGATATTCTAAATAGATAATGTAGATAGACCAGACAATATACTAGATGATAAAATAATCAATTTACTAGTCCGTATACTAGTCAATAGAATAGTCCATAGACTAGTCATTAGACAGGTCCATAGAGTAGACCATAGACTATTTAATAGACTAGTCTAGATACAAGTCAATAGATAACTCCTAGACAATAAACTATTCTATAGATTAGTCGGTAAATTAGCTAATAGAGACAATAGAATCTTGCAGTTTTCCAAGTCTTATGCGAATAAACAACAATTTCTCTCTTGATTTCTCCTTTAGGATATTTCGCAACAGGCAATAGTAGATCCTCATGATACGCTCGACAAACGACCAAAACTCGAACGAACGCGAAGTGCAGCGGAAAAGGAAAATCTGCCGCTGCAACGTTCGGGCAGTATGCTAAAGCGACAATATTCACAGCAGGAACAAACAACGAATCAACGGATGATGGGAAACGATGGCGGCATGGATATGATAAGTCCGGGACAACGACAACGTATGCAGCCCATGACACCGCAACAAATGCAACAGCAACAACAGCAGGCACAATATAGAGGACAGACGTTGAGTGGGGGTGGAGGCAGCTCAACAGCCTATCACACCGATGAAGATCCTAGATTATATCAGGTAAAATTCAGAATAACGAAAAAAAAACTTTAAGACAGAAATTAATTTTAAAAAATTTTGTTTCTTTTTTAGGGTGAAATTGATGGCTTAATGAAACAGCATCCCCATTTGGCTCATCCCAGTCAAAGACAACAGCAACAATATCAATACCAACAACAGCAGCAACAACAACAACAGCAGGCACATCATCAACAATATGCTAGCAGCCAACAAACACAACATGCTATGCGCTCTCAGCAACAACAACAACAACATTTGCCACCCAATGCTACTTCTTCCTCTATTTCCTCCTACCCCCAACACCAACAACAACAAAGGCTTCCAGTATCTCAGCAATCGCATCATCCCCATCATTTGCAGTCATCCTCTGCGGCTGCATTACATCATCCACAATCACAGCATGCCTACGGTTCAGCACAAATGTCATCATCCTCTGCCGCCGCTTTAAATGCTCAGTTGCCAACGCCGCCTTTAGCCGGCCCCATGTCGGCTTCTGTCTCCTCCGCCACTGCGTCTCAGGGCTATCAGAAACCTCCACCCATACAACGTAATCTAACCATTAGTGGTGGTCATGCTATGGATCCCACTACCTACAATGCACGTCGCCATCTGACCACCAACACCCAACAACAACAACAATATTCCATACAACAACAAAGAAGTTTCAATACCTACGAAGATGAACTACCAACGAAACAAATGCTTTCACAGCTTCAGACATCAGCCGTTAATGCTGCGCAACAGGCGCAGCAGCAACAACAGCAACATCAATATGAGTTTGAAGGTAAGTTCGATCGTTGTACCAACATAGTTTCGGTGTCTGTAATATTTCACAAGTCTAGCTATATTACTCTCTGTCTCCATCTATCTCTAACACACACTATCTAACTATCTCTCTCTCTCTTATATAATAATTGTGTATGCGTACTCTCTTAAAACAAAACTAAATCACTAACCCCTCTTATTTTGAACACTCTTTTGTTTAACTTCCTTCACCCATTACACTAAACAAAATCAATTTGTTCTCTATTTTGTTTCAAAATTTATTTATATTTTTTTAATTTTTATTCCCTTTTTACACTATTTGAAATCCCTATTTCCACTGAGGATTAAATTTTAAATCCTTATTTTTTTACATTTCTTCCTAAATGTAATTTTTGTTGGGAATTTTATAAAAAATTAATCAAATTTTTTCTAAGTATCATTGAAAATTTTGAAAAAAATATTAAGTTAACCTTAAGATTTTGTAGGATTTTAATTTTTATAATTAAGAATTTTAATTTTTTTTTTTAAATTTAAGTATCGTTTATAAGTTTTAAATAATTAAGAAAGGATCTAGTTATTTTGTTACATACCTTCATTTATGGATTTCGATTTTGTAATATTTATAGCGTTAATTGTATTTAGTGTATTTAAGAAGTCGTTCCATTTTTGATAATTTTATTTATAATATTTATTTGTATCACTATTTTATATATACAATAATTGATGTAATTTGTATGTTTCTAAATTGAAATTCAAAACCACTTTAAAGAGTTTCTTCAGGAGAAATTTTTGTCATATTAAAGATAAAATTTACATTTAACATAATCTTCTTCGAATGATTCTTTAACGAGGAATTTTTGTAAAATTTTCTTTACGGAAAAAAATTTCTTTAAAGAGAATACTTGTTTCAAGAGAACAGAAAAAAATTTTTCTTTTTTAAAAGACAATTTTCTTACAGTTTCCTCGAAGAGGATATTTTTTCTGAAGATTCTTGGGGTTGTTGATCTATAGTCAAGACTATAGACTGATCTACAGTCAAGTCTATAGACGTATCTATAGTTAAGACTAAAAACTGATCAGTTTCCTTGAAGAGAATTTATATTTCTATGAAGTTTTCGGAAGAGAAAATTTAAGTTAAATATCGTGATATATTTATAGTCAAGAATATAGACTGATCTATAGCCAATACTATAGACTGATCTATAATCGTGACTATAGACTGATCTATAATCAAGACTATCTATAGTCACGACAATACACTGATCTATAATAATGACAATAGATTGATTTATGGGCAATATTATAGAAGTCCAGATTATAGATTATAGATCTATTGTCAAGACTACAGACTGACCTATAGTCACGACTATTGACTGATCTGTAGTCAAGGCTACAGACTGACTTATAGTAATGACAATAGACAATACTTAAGACTATAGACTGATCTACAGTCAAGACTATAGACTGATCTATTATCAATACTATAGACTTATCTATAGTCAACACTATAGACTGATCAATAGTAAAGACTATAGACTGATCTATAGTCCAGACTATAGACTGATCTATAGTCAAGACTATAGACGGATCTATAGTCAAGACTATAGACGGATCTATAGTCCAGACTATGGAATGATCTATAGTCCACACTATGGAATGATCTATAGTCCAGACTATGGAATGATCTATTATCAATACTATAGACTTATCTATAGTCAAGACTATAGACTGATCAATAGTAAAGACTATAGACTATATCTATAGTCCAGACTATAGACTATATCTATAGTCCAGACTATAGACTGATCTATAGTCAAGACTATAGACGGATCTATAGTCCAGACTATGGAATGATCTATGGTCCACACTGATCTATAGTCCAGACTATGGAATGATCAATAGCCAAGACCATAGACTGATCTATAGTCAAGACCATAGACTGATCTATAGTCAAGACTATAGACTGATCTATAGTTAAGACTATAGATTGATCTATAGTCAAGACTATAGACTGATCTATAGTCAAGACTACAGACTGATCCATAGTCAAGACTATAGGCTGATCTATATACAAGATCATAGACTGATCTATAGTGAAGACTATAGACTGATCTATAGTGAAGACTATAGACTGATCTATAGTCAAGACTATAGACTGATCAATAGTCAAGACTATAGACTGATCTATAGTCAAGACAATAGACTGATCTATAGTCAAGACTATAGACTGTTCTATAGTCAAGACTATAGAATGATATATAGTCCAGACTATTGAATGCTATATAGTCCAGACTATAGAATGATATATAGTCCAGACTATAGACTGATATATAGTCCAGACTATAGACTGATCTATAGTCAAGACTTTAGACTTATCTATAGTCCAGACTATGGAATGATGTATAGTCAAGACTATAGACGGATCTATAATCAAGACTATAGACTGAACTATAGTCAAAACTATAGACAGATCTATATATATTCAAGACTATAGACTGATCTATAGTCCAGACTATAGACTGATATAAAGTCCAGACTATAGATCGATCTATAGTCAAGACTATAGACTGATTTATAATCAAGATTATAGTCTGATGAATAGTCGATAGTATGTGGAATTCAAAATATAAAAATTTGTTTTTACATTTCTAGCCTCCTCTACAATATTATACAACATTCATAGAATCATGTGATCAATTATTTAACTTGTTAACTCTACATATAAACAATTTACGCTTTACACTACAAATTCATTTTTAAGCTTTGCATATTTTTAAAATCTAACTAAAATTCTACAAAACGGAAAACAAAAATTATACAAATAAATACAATACTCAAGAATGTTGCATACATATGAATGTACTGGCAGCATGTTTAAGCAATATTTTTCTATTTTTTTCTACTTCTTTGCTATGAAAAGAATTTACTTAAAATACAATCAACATAAATTTTTCGTAAACACAAAAGCATGCATTGCTGTTCGATGTCGCTTTAAATAAAAACAATAACAAATACACGCGAATAAGAGGAAAAAACTCACAACATAGTGGAACACTATAATAAATTGCTACAAATTGAGAAGAAGAAAAACAATAACAAGGGAACTAAAACAAAAGAGAAACAAATTTGTAACAATATAAAATAACATAGGAATACTGCTATATAACTACACATATAAAAATGTATACATACACGCAGAGAAAAAGTGTTGATGTAAAAGTGTCTCAATTTAGAGAATCTTTTATTGTAGAAAATGGTCTCCAGTTGGAGACACTTTTCTTACAGAAAATTGTATTCATTTGGAGAAATGTTTCTAATAAAAAATTGTCTCCATTTGGAGATAATTTTCTTATAAAAAATTGTCTCCATTTGGAAACTCTTTTCTTATAGAAAATCGTCTCCATTTGAAGACTCTTTTCCATTTGGAGACTTTTTCCTATGGTAAATTCTCTCTATTTGGAGACTCTTTTCGTATAGAAAATTGTCTCTATTTAGAGACTCTTTACTTATAGAAAGTTGTCTCTATTTGGACACTCTTTTGTTATAGAAATTGTCTCCAAATCTGCAGACTCTTTTCATATAGAAAATTGTCTCTATTTAGAGACTCTTTACTTATAGGAAGTTGTCTCTATTTGGAGACTCTTTTGTTATAGAAAATTGTCTCTATTTGCAGACTCTTTTCTTATAGAAAATTGTCTCCATTTGAAGAATCTTTTCTTATAGCAAATTGCCTCCATCTGCAGACTCTTTTCTTATAGAAAATTGTCTCCATTTGGAGACTGTTTTCTTATAGAAAATTGTCTCCATTTGGAGACTGTTTTCATATAGAAAATTGTCTCCATTTGGAGACTGTTTTCATATAGAAAATTGTCTCCATTTGGAGACTGTTTTCATATAGAAAATTGTCTCCATTTGGAGACTGTTTTCATATAGAAAATTGTCTCCATTTGGAGACTGTTTTCATATAGAAAATTGTCTCCATTTGGAGACTGTTTTTATATAGAAAATTGTCTCCATTTGGAGACTGTTTTCATATAGAAAATTGTCTCCATTTGGAGACTGTTTTCATATAGAAAATTGTCTCCATTTGGAGACTGTTTTCTTATAGAAAATTGTCTCCATTTGGAGACTGTTTTCTTATAGAAAATTGTCTCCATTTGGAGACTGTTTTCTTATAGAAAATTGTCTCCATTTGGAGACTGGTTTCTTATAGAAAATTGTCTCCATTTGGAGACTGGTTTCTTATAGAAAATTGTCTCCATTTGGAGACTGGTTTCTTATAGAAAATTGTCTCCATTTGGAGACTGGTTTCTTATAGAAAATTGTCTCCATTTGGAGACTGGTTTCTTATAGAAAATTGTCTCCATTTGGAGACTGGTTTCTTATAGAAAATTGTCTCCATTTGGAGACTGTTTTCTTATAGAAAATTGTCTCCCTTTGGAGACTGTTTTCTTATAGAAAATTGTCTTCATTTGGAGACTGTTTTCTTGTAGAAAATTGTCTCCATTTGGAGACTGTTTTCTTATAGAAAATTGTCTCCATTTGGAGACTGTTTTCTTATAGAAAATTGTCTCCATTTGGAGACTGTTTTCTTATAGAAAATTGTCTCCATTTGGAGACTGTTTTCTTATAGAAAACTGTCTCCATTTGGAGACTGTTTTCTTATAGAAAACTGTCTCCATTTGGAGACTGTTTTCTTATAGAAAACTGTCTCCATTTGGAGACTGTTTTCTTATAGAAAATTGTCTCCATTTGGAGACTGTTTTCTTATAGAAAATTGTCTCCATTTGGAGACTGTTTTCTTATAGAAAATTGTCTCCATTTGGAGACTGTTTTCTTATAGAAAATTGTCTCCATTTGGAGACTGTTTTCTTATAGAAAATTGTCTCCATTTGGAGACTGTTTTCTTATAGAAAATTGTCTCCATTTGGAGACTGTTTTCTTATAGAAAATTGTCTCCATTTGGAGACTGTTTTCTTATAGAAAATTGTCTCCATTTGAGACTGTTTTCTTATAGAA